AAAGCAACAGATGTTGCACGATCAGAAGGAAGGTGGTTTGGAATGGGCAGCGTTCTCACCGAACAGGGTCCAGATTGCTGCTGAAGACCTCCCGAGCTCAGAGTCGGGCAAAATAAGCAACTAGAGCTGAATGCGCTGTGCTGACCAGGGCAAGTGAAGAAGAGGGCATGGCAGGTCTGTGTTTTCAGTTAAGTGGAGAGTCAGCTGGAACGGCTTCGTTTTTTATTCAGTGATGACTGAAGACAGAGAATCTCTACCAGGGGCTAGCGATCCAGAAGGGTTACTGATGCACTGAGGGGCACCATTTGGGGGACCCCTCTGTAACTTCACAGTGGCAGCTGCCAAGGTGACTCCTTAGGAGGCAGTAACACTTCAAAACTGGTATTAAAGATGCTGATAAATGTGTCTGATTAAGAATTGTGGAAAAGAATTAGATAACTTTTTTTCTCCCTGCCCCCTCTTAATTGAGGATCTCTCTGCTGTCCCCAGAACTCACGTTTGGTCTTGCATTTGCTATTCAGCTTTTATTTTCCTAGCCTGCACTTGAATCACACATTTGCAAGGAGAGGAAACAAGCACATTCAAAAAGAGAAAATGAGAGTTGTCTTCATGTTTTTTGAAATGAATCAGATGCCTTACCCAAAGCCCATTGAATTCCATGTGAGTTTTCCCCCTGACTTCAATGGGCTTTGGTTCTGGCTTTTAGCTCCCATGAAAGGTCCTGAACTGTCTGTGCTGGGGTGACGAGGAGGCTTGGGTAGACAATTACCAGAGCCCTTCTCAGCCCCTGGCCCAGCCAGGTTGCTAAGGAGACTTGGCCTCGGGATGGGCCCCAGAGCTCACCCCTTCCGGGGTTATTGTCTGCTCTCCCTGCCAAGGCACTCCAGCCGCGGCAGAGCCGCTCGTGCAGCCACAATGCGCTCTACCTCGGGCTCTGGCAGCAGCAAATCCTGCCCGACGTCTTCCCCCCGCCGGCGTGCAGCCTCTCTTCCTGTGGTGTTTCCATCCCTGCACCCTCTGCCCGAGGACCAGAGTGGTGGGATCGGATCTTCTGGTCTCTGTTGGCTGTGAAACCTGTTTTTTCACTCCTGTCACCTGCATCCATACTCCAGCATCTTCATCTCATGCATTTGCATCGTGACTTTCTTGTCTTTCTCCTCACTGATTTCCCTCTGCCTTGGCTGCAGCTGGTCAGCAAAAAAAAAGGACAATGTGGGAGAGATGCCGCCGTGGATTCTTTGCAGTTTTCTCTCTTGGGGGAAGTTTTTCTGAAGTTTTAACATTAACAGACTAAACGACAGTTTCTTGTAAGCCATTGGGCAGGTCTCTTTGCAGTCATCTTTTCAGATAGTGAGTCTGTTTGTCTATAGATAAGCAGAATTCTGAGCAGAAATGCTCAAGCCCTGGGCACTTTCATGGTGGTGTAAAATTTAGAATCTTATAGCAGTGAATATGATAATCTGCACGTGAGCAATCGATTTTGCTCTGCCTTTTGTAGATAATTGGCTCTTCAAATGGGAATGCTCTTGGTTTTGTATCTAAGCTGCAAATCGGAGAAAGCAAGGTGGTGTCTGTTTGGCTCAATCACTTTCAGGTCAATATGCAGAAATTTTTTCATAATTTTAAACATTTTTAAACATCCGTTAGACTCCATATTAAACATCCATTACATTTTGGTTGAACCAAGAAGGTCTGTTAAGAAAGCAGGGCATATCTATGAAAAGCTTTGTAGATCTGTATGTATTCCACTGAGTAACTAATATTTATGGTAATAAAATTAGTATCTGCTATTTTTGGTCTTTATGATGTAGTATCTAGTATGCTTGAAGACAGCTGATCTATGGGGTGGTTTTCTATTTTATGGCATATGCTGTTAACTTGTTTTTGAAACGTGTTAGCAGGGAGAATGAAACACTAAAATTTCAGTGGTCAAGTAGCAAAGATTTATTTCTTAAGGTTCTGATTCAGTTCAATATTATGAGCTAGGAGAATGCTGAGATCAGCAGGGCAACAGAGCTGTAAGCTTGGTTACCAACTTGTTTTATATGAAAATATTGTTTGTCGACGTTAAATAACTAGAGATATATGCGGTCACTATAGGTTAGTGATGATCCTGATTATAATTATTAGGTTATGTAAGGCAAATGATAAAATTGGTTTCACTAGCCTTTTAAGATTTTTTTTAAGGCAACTTTGACTCTTTTGTTAGTCTTTAATAACAAAGAAAACACCATTTCCATCTAATACTACTGTAGCCAGTTGTTTGAGCGATGATCTCTGCATACAAATGTAAGGCTTGTATTTTAAATGCTAAATAGTGATGTGAGATTTAGGTATGTGGTTTTGACAGTACCTATGCTTAAGCAGTCCTTAAATGTGTGTGGTTTGCAGAGAAATACCAAAGGAGTAACATCCTGAAATTGCTGTTTCTAAGAAATGATACTGTACAGAACTATACTTGGTCATTTGTAGTTAGTGGAAGTTTCTCCATGTGTAGGGTTTTTTTCTCCCCAGTACGGAGTGTCTTTATTGTGGTATTGGACTCCAGGATTGTCATGAAACCCCGCTGAATTTGCATCATGGTGGTTATGTTCTCCTGGGCTGTTAGCCTGTGTGGGCATAGGAATATTCTCTTCTGCGGAGGTGGGGGAGTTGGGCAGCACTAACCGTTGCTCTGGATGTCGGCGGGCGACTAAAGTTTGTTTGTTACACATTTACCCTTAGAGAATAAATTTCACAAATGTCTTGCCTATACATATGCACGCACTTTAATTTTTTAAAAGGAATTGGGGACCAAGAATGTAAGAACTTTGCTTTTACTTCTTTGCTTTGCCGCTTCTTTTTCGGTAGAGGAAAACTTTGACAGTCATCAATAAAAGATTAAATCATTGATGGCTATCGGGATAAACTAAACACATTTTGTGTGTTGATGCTGGCATAGTAGGAACTTTTCCAAGATGTTTCAGGCCTCGTTCTCTGGTTTGTTTAAGGGCAGAGAATAAGGTCACAAAGGAAATCAAACCCTGATGTGGAGAAATGAAACATGAGGCCTACTGACTTCTAAAAAACATTTTAAATAACATTCTCTAAGGTTTCATTTTATACTGAAGGCAGCTGTAATAAGTTTTGGAAGATGGTGTAAGGTTTCTATTAAAGAGAGATTTTTGCTTGCTGTTTTTGTACCCAAATGAAGGAGCAAGGGAGATGGAATTAGAGCTTATTTAGTATAAGGTGAGAAACTAAAAGTTCTCTCCAGAACTGTAAAGTAGTAATTTATAAGTTCTACTGTAATTTACAAATTAAAAAATATTGCACTGTTCCTAGATCTTTGAAAATGACACACATAGCTGTGGCATAATTCAATAACTGCAACACAAATGCGCTTTTGCCACAAGTAAAATAAGGCTGCTGCTTTGTAGTATGCTGCCAGTGTAGCCTCAGTGAATAAATTCCCAGTAGATGTTTGCCGCATGCCAAATATATTGGACTGTATAAAAGATCCCATTGTTCCACGGGCACCATTATTTGCTATTACACTCGCAATGTTTGCTTGTGAAACAGTTTATTGGAAACTAGTATGTTTAAGAAGGAACGCTTGATTTGAAATTCAGTTGATTTGGCTTGTAATGTCAAAGCTTTTACAGTGTACAGCCTCTAAAAATAAATATTTAGGTCTGCCGTTTTTTTACTTATCTTCGAAAGAATTCCTGGAGAAGAGGCTGGGGCTGGGCAATGGGCGTTTCACTTCTGATTTGTAGGTTGAAGGTGTACGTAGGTCAGGATTAACTTTACTCTCCTGTAAGAAGGAACGGGCGGCGTTACGCTTGCGTGAGGGAGGTGGCGAGTTCCCAGCAAGGCTGCTGAAACGGCAGCTCTCTGGAGGTTGTCTAGGGAGGGTGGCAGTGCCCGTCCCGCTCGCGGGATAGTAAAGGAATTTGGTAACCAGGGCTGTTGTTTAGAGGACTTTCTGTTACGCGATGTTTGGGTGAAAAGTTTTTATGCTTTGCCCACTTGCCTTGTCCAGCTAAACCAGGCTGCTGGTGGTCCTGGAGGCTGGGGAGCTGGGCGCGTGCCCTGCTCGCCACCCAGAAGGTTTTAGCAGCTTTTAAATCAGGCTTAGTGAGGGTGGTGGAAAGCTGCCTCGCTGTCACAGCGGAGGGCAAGGCTCCCACCGATGCTATGCCCCAGGACCGTGTATTGCACCCACAGCGTCAGGCTGGGAACGCTGGCTGCAGTGGCTCTCCGGGTACCCGGGTGCTCAGCGTTCGCTGATGTAAGTTTGACCAAGAACATCTGATGAAGGCCTGAGCAAGTCCATAGGTTAAAAGCTCTGTTGGCTCACATTAAATACACTGCCCAGAGAACTCTCTATTTCCTATCTAATTTCTCTGTCTTCCTGCTCAGAATAAGAACGAACTGGTATTTCTGCTGTTGTGTCTGGGTAAAGTAGAGAGCAGCTATCGTGGTGGTGCTGGTCAGAGCATTTTGAGAAGTCGAGCTGTGGGGTATGTGCATCCCGCATGAGGAGTTTCAGTGCTGAGGCTTCTGCTGCTGGATCTGAGAAAGTCCCTTTGGTTTATTTTAATACATTAATGAGTTTTTTAAATTAATCAATAATCTTTCTTCTATTTTGTAGAGGCTTGGTCCAATTAGAATGTTTTAAAACTCATTGCAATGGCTCAATTAAAAAAAAAAGATATTTTACTTAATTCTTGCTGAGTTGAACTATGAAAAATGCTTAAAGTTTTTAAGCACGGTTTCTCCCCTCCCCCCAAATAGCTAGTCTTTATATTACAAGTGTAGTGCTCAAGTCATCTCCTTTGAACTGTAGTTTGTGTTATACGTTTTGGCTGCAGTGTTATTTCGGAGGAGTCAGCCAACAGGCTTACAAGGCTTTTTGGCTCGAGTTCACTTACAGTTTTCTTGGCAGCTCTGCTTATTTATGCATCTTTATTTCTCTCTCTCTTGCTCCTTCTCGCTCCCCCTCCCCACACGAACAGAGCGATCGCCGCACAGGCCCATCCTCCAAGCTGGCCTTCCAGCAAATGCCTCTGCAGTCGTCGGCGGTGACGTCGAGTTTGTCTGCAAAGTCTACAGCGATGCTCAACCTCACATTCAGTGGATAAAACATGTAGAGAAGAATGGCAGTAAATACGGACCAGATGGACTGCCGTATCTTCAGGTTTTAAAGGTGAGGCTTTACAGACGCCGGCAGTGGTGATGACTTCTTTAAAGCGTTGAATTTTTTTGATGTAAATCCAAGAATTTTGAGATCTGAACTTCTTTTGAAAATGGAGGTGTTCATGTTACAAATGAAATAATGAGTCAGATAGCCATTTGATAGTCTAAATGCTAATTGTGCAGTTTGCAGATACTTTTGCTCTTTTTTTACTTCCGTGAAGTCCTTTATCTCTGAATGTTTCAGGCACGACTTACTCAGAAAAAAAAAAATGAAAACCCTCTTAAAGAACATCACTGACATTTACGTTACGGTAGAGTTACGTCCAAAGCATACCCAGGATAATGTGCTCCATTTCTTTCCCGTTTCTTTAGCGTCTTTATTCAAAGTAACGTGGCACCTGCTGACAAAAGCTTGTTGGCAGGGTTGGGTTTTCTGGATGCTGAGCCTGCAGACGTTCATTTTTCGCTGGCGTATCAGCGGTGTCATTCCT